ACATACATACATACATACATACATACATACATACATACATACATACATACATACATACATACATACATTAATATATGCATACACGCATACAGAATATGGGTAACATCGTCGAGTGTAATGACAATCACATGTTTCTCTCAATGGTGGTTATAAAAGGCACTTATATTGAATATGCCCAATTACACGGTAACCCCGTTTTTCTAAAGAATGCTCGCCTGACTTTTATTTTATTTGGTGTAGTCATGAGGACAAACTTTGCTATCACTAGGCCCATACACGAGCTCCTACAATGTCCATGATTTATGAAATACCTCCTATTTTATCCTTTGACGACAGGAGGTGAGAAAGATCTCTTTAAGATGCAGAACCAGACTTTTACGATCATCCACCTTCTGGAACCGACAAATTGCACAAGTTCACTTCTTTCCAGCCCAGTAACATGCGAATCTGATAGCTTGGCTAGTTGGCCAGGCCCCATTATCCTCGATTCGAATCAGATACCAAAAGCTGTGCTTCAAGTGACAAATGAGAATCGAAACAATCTCGATTCAAGCCCATCTGATACCACCAGGACAGAGATCGCTTATGAGTCAAGTAATCTGCCCGACAATGAGCGTGCAACCAAGAAATCGGAATCAGACCTGACTCTTAGAATGGACTCAACAAGCACAGAAGAAGAATCACTTCAGGAGCTTTCACAACTTGCCTTTCATTTGTCGGAAGCTGATTTTACACGCACCTCCACGATAGGGTCGTCTACAGCGGATAGTCCCATGACCACCCAAATGGCAGCGCTCGAGAGTTATCATCTTGCCTCGAAAGGCAGCAACTCAGGACCCTGGCAAACGAGCCAATTAAATTCTTCTTGCTTCCCCGAGACTGCTCGTCCCGCCATGAGTTATCTCCGGATGTTGGCCGACAGGCTTGCTCAGGAGGCCCAGTCTGACCCAAGGAGTCTAGGAAACGAAGAGTGCGTACAAAGTGCCGAATGCTCGGGAGACTTTCCTCAAACTTCCGAAACTTTCTCGAATTCAGCATCGCTTGTGATGAAAATGATGACATTGATGAGAATGATGATGACGACCCCGACAAAGAATAACACTCTCGCTGGACAAACGACCCTGAACGCAGCCCATTTAGACCCGAAGGATGTGGACATACAGCAAAAGGCTGATGTAAACTCTATGGGATCAGAAGAAAAGGTGAAAGAGTTAAGTGCGTCCGAATGGAACAAGGATTCTCCACAATTCTATCAAGAGGCCTTTATACGTTTGCTGGCTGCTGCGAGCGAGAAGTGTCTTCCTGGCTTTTCTATGCATCGGACCAACACTGAGCTGGCCGGCCCTCGTCAAATGTTTGTGGATCTAGCCAATAGGCCTCTGGGGGCTTCAGACACCATTGGTACCCAGACTGGCGGCTGGAGAAATTCAGGACTGGAGATGATGACATTTGGTGGGCTGGATCCAAACTGGGATAGACGACGTGATCATGCATATTACGGACTACCAGGAACTGACAACTGTGGTTGGGCTAGTTCAGGAGCATTTGATGAGGAGGCCGATTCCCAGATGGGTGTCAACGGAGCATACCACAGGTCATCCGGTTGTCATGAGGAAGAAAGTAAGTCAAAAGATAAGAATAGTATTCACCCTATTTCGTTTAAGTTGATGGACTGATAGTTGAATTTTCACATAATTACATGAGTAGGCCTCATGTTTCTAGTGGATACCTACTTAAAAATGAAAAGAAGTAATCTAGTTGATTGCTATAGCAAATAGGATTTTGCTTCGTCAGCAAACCCAGAATAAAAATTTGACATAAGAAAGGTTTATGCTTCTTTAAAATTCAATTCTGATTTACATATCGAGGTTATAAATTGCACTGCTCGGTTTTGAGTCATGCTGAGGGTTCTGATGAGACGGTGAGGCCAGGATGAAACTGCAGTCCACTTGAGCTCGGATGAACATGCCATTTGTGGAAGCAAGATTGTGCAAAATTCAATGAAAACGTAAAGTCTACTCATATTATTGCATACAAATTCAACCACCAGTCCTTCATCATCCTAAATTAAATAGGGTGAACACAGTTCTTGTTCAACATCTACTGGTAATCTCGAAAGCCTACTTAGAAACGATGTCGTATTCATCTTATTGGAAGGACAGATTTGAGTGATTCTCCTTCTTCTGCTACGAGATGATCGTGCAAGCAATGTAATGTAGGCCTTTATAATTTAGCCATTAGAGAGGAAAATGCTATTGCAATTCATGGGTAAGACTTGATCTTTTCATTCCCTTTTATTATGTCATAAAGCATAAAGATGGATTCTCATTATAGGTGAGCTGCATTTCCAGCCTCACTTAGTTCAACTCGGTAGATAAGAGGAGTTAGTCGCTAGACATGTATGGGTTAAGAGGCAGACAAAGCGCGCCTTAGAGATAGAAAATAGGCATTGTGCTATTTTTCGAATATAAGCAGAGTGTCTAGACTACCAGTAAAGCAGTTTTATGAGATGTATTCACCCGATTTCGTTTAAGGTGATGAAAGACTGGTAGTATAATTGTTGAGCTTACTTCCATTTCGAGTGTTGGATGAAGAGATTCGAAGGTCTGTTCCTACAGAAGACGACGGCGGATTCCTCTTGACCAGCTGTCGATTGGCTTTACTGGTAGTATAATTTTCCCACAATAATATGAGTAGAGCTGACGTTTCAATTAAATTTCACATCATATGATGGATATCATCAGAGCTAGAATTAATTCTAGTAAAAGTCTCAACACAAGGTCAAGAACACTATCCGGCTCTATCTTTCCTCTTCTATAGACTCAATTAAGCAAAAGATAATTGGAAGGCCTAGCTAGATATGAAATGTTTTTATAATTATCTTTCATATTCGTCCTGCTACTTGAGTTCGAATGTGTGCGTGTTTGTGTCAATGTCTATTCGCAATAGCGGTCTTAAATCAGAATGATAAAAAAGGCTAATGTCAGGCTCTGGTTATCAAGGCTTAATGGCCGAAGAAAAAGCCATGACCGAGACTGCGTAAGTCCGTGAACAAGTATGGTTGGTCTTAACTAATCAGTCTAGGGTCATTAAGGTTTAACCGCTCAATGAAAGGAATGATTGGAACCGGCTAATCTCGTACATTTGGTTTGGATGATGATCTTAATCAAGCATGTTAGACGAATGTGGCTGAGGTTAGAACCATCACTGAGAGGACAAGCTGAGTCGCCTTCTTTTTGATGGCGGCTCAACACCCTCACTCTCCTTCAATCTATCAATCAAGCATAATTAGTTCTTTGTACTTTCGTTTCTCATATTCAACGTATTCCCTAATCTTTCAATTTCAATAGCCTCTCTTATCTTCCTTTTTACAGCAGACTTATCATTCTTTCTCATGTCCAGTCTCCGGTATATTTTCAGCCACGTTGGACCATTTGACCCAGCTTTTTGTGTTTCCCCAATCTTTGTGGAATGATATGAGAATCACATCGTGAAAGAGCCAAGGCTAAACCCTAAATTGTTGGCTAGATATATGGCTGACCATTTTGTCATCTGGCCTCATGGTAAGGAAAATTGAGATAGTTTCCCACTTTCAATTAACAACCGTGAAGGGGATATTATGCTCACAATGAAAATAGAAGAGACTAAGTACATACACTTTTTGGATATTCTGATTATTACGGAAGAGGGTAAGTTAGGAAGAGATATTTATAGGAAGCCAACATATCTGGCTCTACTTAATTTTCTTTCCGAACATAGTTACAAAACTAAGGTTGGTATTTTGAAGTCAATGATTATTAGGAGTATGAGGCTAGGGGATAGCAGTCATTTGACTAAAGATTTGGAAAAGCTGACAAATTTATTCCTGAAAAATAATTATTCTTTGGGCCTAATTGAGAATAATATCTTTTTACTGAGGAATAAATTTTCATACTTAAATAATATAGATAAGCTGAGACTTTTTCTCATGTCATAATTTTGCCTTCATGCCTTCTTTCTTAGAAGATAGACGAATTAGTGAGAAATGGAGTTTTCAGAGAAACCTTCACACATTATTCTGTTACGAGATGTATTTCA